TGGATTTTAGTCATAGGAGATTGCCAGTCATATGACACCAACGCATCGATAATGAACCAGAGGGAAAAGAATGTAGGAAGTGCATAATAGAATCAAGTTACATAGTCGGCATGTTTGATAGTCAATTAATTTTTATAAATGTAACATGTAATGATAATGAAGATATCATAGAACTGTATTTGCTTTATAACCATTACCGCCATCATAAACAGCGTGCAAATTAAATGAGATGTAATATTCAATATAAATAAAATCATATCGACAAACCTTACGATTTTCGAAATAAATCAAATATACAAATTATTTGTTTTGTCCTTATACAAATTATTCTTTTAATTCAGTCTTTCAAAACAACAATGGATGATATATTTATCGTGAAATAAAACTTTATTTTGGGATTTAGCCTTGAGAATATATATATATATATATAATATATATATATATATATATATATATATATATATATATATATATATATATTATATATGTATGTATATGTATATATCTATAATCTATCTATCTATCTATCTATCTGTCTATCTATCTATCTATCTATCTATCTATCTATCTATCTATCTATCTATCTATCTATCTATCTATCTATCTATCTATCTATCTATCTATCTATCTATCTATCTATCTATTTATCTATCTATCTATATATGTATATATATATTATTATATATATATATATATATATATTATATAATTCTGTCTACTCATAAATTACCTAAAAATAACACCAGCAACAATAGAACCGCCAAAGTTACTACCAGCATGTCACCACAACCACTACACCCCCCCCCCCTCCTCCCATCCCCCCTCAACAGGTAGCCTAGTAAGCCTGGTGTAGTGTATAAAAGAATCATTATTTGGCGTAAGCTGTGAAGTGACCAAACCTCCCGCTGTTTTGGTCGACCCGGACGCTCAGGAACGTACTGTGCTGTGATGTACGAATTGCTTTGTTTTGCTGTAACGTATGAATGGATTTTTTAGTGTTGGTTTCATGGGGTTTACTTCGTTTTTTGTGAGGAGAAGCGAAAATCTGTATTATATAAGTAGGATTGAAATATGATAAAGTACAGGAAATCATTACATTTTTGGTTACAAAATTCCATCTGATTTTTTTTTTTTATAACTTATAATTACGTTTTATTTACACATATTATGTGTATAGTTTATCTGTATATGTAAATAAGCAGGTTTGAAATATGATAATTAAGTACAGGGAATTATCACATTTTTGCTTACAAAATTCCATCTGATTTGATCTTTTTTTTTCTCTTCCTTGTAATTACGTTTTATTTATATACACGATATTCCCTTTCGCTTTCTCGCGTCGCCTGCACGAACGAAAGCGATGCTCCAGATGGGTGTATTAACACGTCTCGGGAACAACACCGGATACACAGCTAATGAAAGATGATTAGGGTATACCGCGTGTGATGTATCCCCGTCGAGGGCTTCATGCCAAGTCAATTTGCAGTAACTGTCAGGGGGCGAAAGTAACGATGGGTATTGACAGCTTGACCGATAGTTATGAGGCAACCGCTGGCGTAGGCTGGCCTTGCTCGGTATAGGCTGACCATGCTAACACGCTGGGCATTGTGAGGCGGTGGGCATGCTGGCGGACTGGATATGCCAGGTACTCAGAATAGGACTCCCAAATGGGCATACTGTGTCACGTGCTGAGAGGTCATGCTAAGCTGAAAATGGGAGCCAATTTGAGCGAGCCGCGCCCCGAAAATAGTACAGGCCGAAGTAGAATCTCACATTGACGTTACTTCGGAGTTATAGTTTTGTTATATGTAATTAATGTTAAATGTAACTCGAGGTAGAATAGCATACAATAAGTATATCATTTTTCTCATTCCTCTGATACGCTTAACACAAGATGAAAATAGTTACTTAAGCACAGGCCTGCTTCGACGCCCCTCCGTCGACGCGCTCTAGGTGGGTAGGCCTACGCAGTGACCGCTCATCATATGCTAGTATGACGAGCAGGCCCTCAGTATGACCGCCTCGTAAACTATTTAGGAAGAGGCGTCATGGTGACCGACTGAAAGCCCGCGGAGGGAGTCCGGCGTTATGAAATATTCTTCCTATTTTCACTCCTGGAATGCATTTCGTGCTGTGAATTATCTCTATAGCGTAACTTATGGCTGGCTTGTCTCGCCCGCTACAGTACTAACGGCTGCTGTGATAGATGGCTATCGCGGTGTTCGATCAAGACTCTCTCCAATATCAGTGAATAGTATGGGATTAATAAAGAAGAACTGGAGGAACCACACCAAAATTTCATTTTTTTCCTTTCAAGCACCAAAGACCGCGTTAATAGGAAAATAAACTGGTCACCATCCTGTACCGGGCGTATATGCTCCATTCAGAAAGTCAGCGAGCGTAACTGCGTCTCTTTTCCAAAGCCATTCGTGATTAACATACGCACGCACGCACGCGCGCATTTAGGGCTGGGCCAGGTCGGTAACCATAGTTGGGGGCGACGACTCGCGCTTGGCCAGAGTTGTCCGGGACGCCGCGCTGAAAGGACGTCCCCTGACCCCGCTCGTGACTCCCACTTGTCACGCCGCCGTTACCTGAGGCTCTGCGCTGCCGTGGACGCCCGCTGGTGTTGTCCCTCTTGAAAGCGGATCTGCATCGGCGCTGCGCTCTTACCTCGCCTCCTCGTGGATTTTTGGAAACAGTGACAGTCCGTGCTGTGCCGAGTGGTTGTTGAGCGTCAGTGAAAAAAATCGCGAAACATGGGTGAGATGTGCGTGGATGACATCGTCAGGGACCAAGTGATGGCTCTGCCGAGTGTTCTCAACTACAGGATCTGGTCTTCAGGGCCAAGGAGTGCGCCCCCCGGCCTGCCCGTCAGGCGACCCCAGGCGAGCAGGTTGAGGAAGAACTTGTTCGGCCCCGTCGACCACAGCGAGAACTTGAGATTCGTGCGCGAGGAACTCGAGAAGATCGCCAAGGAGGACTCCGAGCGCTGGAACTTCGACTTCAAGACGGAGCAGCCCAAGGAAGGACGCTATGAGTGGGTGGCCGTTGGGGAAGGTGCCGCGAAGAAGAGTCCGGCGCCGCAGCTCACCTGCCTCACTGCTAACAACGTCAACGTCAAGTCCGTGAAGAGGCTGAGCGCGAGTCCGCCCGCCAAGATGCGACAGAGACTCTGCACGGATTACTTCAGGCTCAACAAGGCGACGACGACGACGAAGGCCAAGGCCAAGAGCGAGCGCAAGACCGAGAGGGAGATCGCCCCCTCGAGAACGCCGGAAAAAAGAACCGCAGTGGCAATCAGATAAAAAGGGAAAAAGAAGTATATATTTATATAAGTTATTTCTAGTGTTATTGGAAACACCAAACGGAAGGAGAATTACAAGAAAAAAACAAAGCAATGCCGTTTTTTTACACATTGCTTATCAGGATTCGTAATGGTGTTCCCAAGAACAGTAAAAATGAAAGCTTTAATTCCACAAAACATGAATGTATAAAAAAACGAAAAAAATAGACACCAAGTGCTTTATCAAGTGATATTAGATAAATAAACCGCAACAGAAATGAAAACTACGACGCATAACTACACGACAACAGGAATATAAAACGACGTCACTGGATTACAATAGACACCCCTTCATTCGCGAACTTCAGAAAACGAGAAACTCCACAAGACACGAAGGGAAAAAAATGGTCATAACTTCTGTAAACTTCATATTCTGGTGACCTTTTTTTTTGGTTACTGAAGCCAAGCGACTCCACAGTTGATCTCAATTCATATTGTCGAAAAATTGTGAATATAAATATTTATAGATGTTTATTTATTGTACATACAACTAAATTGTTATGTATAAAATGTTTTGAATATATCTATTCGAAAGTATTCTTATATATTATTTTCCCTGAGTAATTGTAAAAATGTTGATGCTGATAATGATTGATGATGATGATATCCTAATATTATAAGTAACATTATAAGTAATATAATGCTGATGATAATGATGATGATGATATAAGTAACAATAATAAGTAAAATTAATAATAAGAAATCCCAAATGTATGGAAAATTCTGTAAATATCTTCATATTACAGATACGATAATGAAAAAGTATTCAATGATATAAATGAAATGTCAAAAAAATTAAAGTCTATTCCATATGCTGTACATAATATCGTAGTAATCAAAATAATCAATCAAATTATCATCAATAGAAATATAAGAAATATGTTTTCTTTTAACAAATAATTTGGAAATGAATGGAAAAAAAAGAAAGAAAAAAAATATTGAAGTGGAAGATAAAAAAACATGATTTTTAATTCATTTTTCTTTATTATTATTTTATTGTCTTCGCAAAAATGAGAAACACACTATAAAGAAAAAGTGAATACCTAAAACAATTGATAAAATATAAAATACACTTTTGGATTACATTAACTTCAAAATGTATATTTAAGAAAGTACAAAGAAACAAAAAGTAATAGACAGTAAATAATAAATATAAGTAAATGAATATGATGAATACATGATACGATTACTTATGATTTTTCGTCTAAAATCTTGTATGTGTGAAGTCGAGAAAGAAAAAATAAGCAAAAGAGATAATCAAAATCTAAAAAAAAACAAAAAAACTAGCATATCGATACTCTTACTTAAGAAGATAAAAAATACAATACAAAGATAAATCACACAGAGTTAAAGAAATTAAAATGAAATTATACTGAATAAAAAAAAAAAAACAAGGATAGAAAAGAAATATAGTGTATACAAACAAATGAGAACCGAAGGAAATGATAAAAACAACAAACAAAAACACTGACGAAAATTAATTAAAAAAAAACAAGGATAGACAAGAAAACAACAAAACAACAAAAAAACAAACAAAAAAACATACAAAAAATGAAAACCAAAGAAAAATGAAAAAACAAACAAACATACAAACACAGGAAAATCCACAACTCAAGGAGACAACAAAGAAACAAACAACCCAGCCAGGGCGGCTCGGGGGTCAAGTGTCAGCAGAGAGAGAGGGACTAGACTCACCCTCCGATAAATCTGGTTCTATAAAAAGGGTGAGAGGGAGGGAGTGTGTTAAATGGGGTCACGCTAGGCCTACTGTTGCTCCGGCCGGGTTGGGAGAGGGGAAGGGTTGTGAGGGAGGGATGAGGGGAAGGGTTGTGAGGGTGTGAAGAGGGGAAGGGTTGACTTCTTTTCTTTTTCTTTCTCTCTGTGGTTTGTGTCTGTGTGTGTTCTCCGTTTCTGTCTTTGGCTTTGTCTGTCTCGGTTTCTCTGTCTGTCTGTCTGCTTGTCTGTCTGTCTCTGTCTGTCTGTCTGTCTGTCTCTGTCTCTCTCTCTCTCTCTCTTCTCTCTCTCTCTCTCTCTCTCTCTCTCTCTCTCTCTCTCTCTCTCTCTCTCTCTCTCTCTCTCTCTCTCTCTCTCTCTCTCTCTCTCTCTCTCTCTCTCTCTCTCTCTCTCTCTCTCTCTCTCTCTCTTCTCTCTCTCTCTCTCTCTCTTTTTTCTCTGTGTGTATATATATATATTATATATATATATATATATATACTATATATATATATATATATATATAGATAGATAGATATAGATAGATATAGATAGATAGATAGATAGATAGATAGATAGATTTATATATACAAATTGTATGATATATAAATATACATACATGAATATGGAACACACACACACACACACACACACACACACACACACACACACACACACACACACACACACACACACACACACACACACATATTATATATATATATATATATATATATATATATATATATATATATATATATATATATATATATATATATATATATATATATATATATATATATATATATATATATATATATATATAATATATATATATATATATACGTATATTTGTGATTCTCACTTATCCCTTTTATTCGTCAACCCCTCTCCACACTCCCCACCCTCTTCCCCCCACTCCCACGCCCGCACTTTCCTCTCCACCCCACCCCCCCCACGCCCGCACTTCCCTCCCGCGCCGCACAACAGTCCACGCCCACAAACACGTCACGCTGAACGACCCCCCTTGGGTTCCGCCCTCCACTCCACCTGTCCCTCTCCCTTTCCCTTTCCCCCTTAGCCCTGTTCAGCAGCCCTTAATCTCTTTCCCTTGAAAGGTAGGTTAGCCTCCTATTCTTCTTCCTAATTTTGTCTTTCTTCTAAAATTCTTTATGTCTCTTTTCATTTTATTTCTTTTATTTTTCCCTTAGCCTGGTTCAGCCCCTCCCCCCGCCTTAATTTCTTCCTTACGAGTTAGGTTAGTTCTCTTTTATTCCTTCTTCCCTTCTTCTTAAAATCTGTACTTCTCTCTTCCTTCTTCCCCTTAAAATCCGTACTTCTCTCTGTTCTTCCTTATTCTCTCTTCTTAAAATCCGCAATTCTCTCTTTTTTCCTTATTCCTCCTTAAAACACTTTCTTTTTCTCCCTTATTCCTCTTAAATCCGTTTCTCTCTTTTTCTTCCTTTTCCCCTTAAAACCGTACTTCTCTCTTTTCTCCCTTATTCCCTTCCTTCTTAAAATCCGTACTTCTCTCTCATTTATAATTCCATCCTCGAATATTAGCACTTCAACAATCTCCCCTCTCCTCCCCCCCCCCTTTCGAAAACGCGACCAGATACGCCCACCAACCCGCCCAACCCAACCCCCCACCCCAAGCGCATCAAGCAGACTACCTCACGAGACAAAAAAAAAGCATTATTTCCCCTCGCTCGGACCTTAAGCTCCGCCCCTTCAGCTCAAGCTCCGCCCCCCTACCTCAGGTACTGTCGGGTTGGCAAGCTGTTTTCCCACGACGAGTTCTCCTGTTTATTGGCGCGGTGGCAGATGCTGATTCTGCGGTGCTTATCTGCACTTTGTGTCTCAATCTGTCTTGCTGTCAGCTGTGAGATATGGCGGACCCATTTTCGGACTGAAACTTTTGTTTAGAAATTTATGTATCAATAACAACCCAAGATATATATATATATATATATATATATATATATATATATATATATATATATATATATATATATATATATGTATATATATTATATATTATATATATATATATATATATATATTATATATATATATATATATAATACTTTATATATAAATATGAATATGTTATATGTTATATATATATATATATATATATATATATATATATATATATATATATATATATATATATAATATGTGTGTGTGCACACACACACACAACACATATAATATATATGTGTGTGTGTATGTGTGTGTGTGTTGTGTGTGTACACACAAGCACATATATATACATACATAAACCTATACATATATGTACGTAAACATATAACACCAAAGATTTCCAGCGGCCATAAAGACGAAATCATTTTGAGGAAACGGAGCACCCATACAGTGTAGACGCAAGTCACTTCCTCTTCACTTATTCGCTCCCATTACCCTGGTTTATGACTTCACCGAAGGGTAGAGACAAAGGGAGGGAATCAGGTAGGGAAAAAATTCACTTGGGAAAAGATATTTACGAGTCTAACTGTATTTCTGCTTTTCTGTCTTTCTATGTACGTATATTGTGATTGTCTATCTGTTTGTCGTATCTATCTGTCTATCTGTTAGTTAGTTGGTCTATCTGTGTATCTATCTATCTGTCTATATTTATATTTACCTGTCCCAACTATCTATTTGTCTATTTATTATTATCAGTCAGTTAATCTATGTATCTAGCTATCACTTTATCTATCAGCGTCTGTCTATCTACTTATTATTCCACTTATATGTCTATCTGTATCTGCCTACCTCTCTCTCTCTATCTATCCATCTACTATCTGTTCATCTATCAGTAAAAGATAGAAAATAGAAACCCAAATAATACCAAGAAAAATAAATAATTAAAAGAAAGGAAAGAAAATGAAATAAAAAAGAAAGGAAAGAAAAAAAAAGAAAGGAAATATAATAAAATAAAATAATGGAAATAAAATAAAATAAAAGCATGGGAAGAAAATAAAACAAACAAAGAAATGATTTCGTAAATAACAAACAAACAAACACACACACATAAGGATGACGCGTCCACTAAAAGTACCTCGTTAAAGCGACCTTCTATAACAAGCCTGAGGGTAATTTGCACTTCGTCTCTTCTCCGTACGTCCTTTAACAGAAAATAAATATATATATAAAAGGTAAATATATATCACACCGAATGGCCACCGCGGAATGTAAAAAAAGAAATGATGATAATAAAAATAATAAAAAAAAAAACAGAAAAAGGAAATTTTAGCGACAGAGGAGGGAGGGAGGGAGGGGAAGGGGAAAGGGGGAGGGGGAGGGAGAGGGGGAAGGGGAGGGAGAGGGGAAGGGGGAGGGGTGTAGGGAAGAGAAGAGGGGGGGGGGAGGAGAAGGAGACCGCAGAACAAACAGACTCCGTGATCACTGTTATTACACGCGCCCATACCCTGTTTGGGGTCCTGGTGGGGCGAGGGTGGGTTGGTGGGTTGGAGAGGTGGGCGGGGTGGTGGTGGGTGGGTAGAGAAGGTGGGTGGATGGATAGGGTGGATTGGTAGGTGGGTAGACTGGACAGGTAGAGGGTGGGTGGGTGGTGGGTGGAAATAACTAGAGAATGGAGAGAGAGAGAGAGAGAGAGAGAGAAGAGAGAGAGAGAGAGAGAGAGAGAGAGAGAGAGAGAGAGAGAGAGAGAGAGAGAGAGAGAGAGAAAGAGAGAGGGTGGGGGGGGCTGAAGACGAAAATAGCGATAGGGAAATTCGTGAAGAAGACAGAAGGAGAAACAAAAGACAAGACGAATGGGAGAAGAAAATGAAAAAAATGGAGAATTTAACGATGGAGAAAAG